ATTAAATATAAACAGGTTATTGTACAGGGTATTAACATGCTGCCAAAGGTTTAGCATCTCATTATAGGGGTGCATTTTTGAAGCCAAACATTGAACTTCACTCCAACTCATGCCAAATATGTTCAGAAGGGTTGAGGTCCGGACTTGATTGCCGGCTGGTCAAATTCTTCTTCACCAAAGTAGGTAAGTTATGCCTTCCAGTATAACCTCTGATTTTAGTGAATTAAATGATTGAGTGCTATATCATGTAGCTAAAGATCAGCTCAACTGATTTCCTACCTTTATATTTTTGCTCAGTAAAAACAATTTGCTCTTTACCATAAAAACTCTCTGGATAAATATTTGCAATTTATTTAAAGAAGCTTCTAAATCAGAGCTGCAGTTTCACAGCGCCTGCTGATATCAACATTAGAGGAACAATATATTCATTCTGTGACCTCCGACATACAGACTGTCAAAGGACAGGAAATTGTCCTACTTAAAAAAATTACCATAATCATAAATGTGTGGGAGTGTGCAAAAACTCTTATCTGAATACAGTGCGGGAAGGCAAGCTGAATGAAAAAGGAAAAATACTTCCACATTTTTATTGGTTTGTTTCACGCTTGAACTGCTAGAATAAATTGTAGAATATAAAATATATTATCTCTAATCCTGTTGTGCAGTGATGTTTGACTCAAATAATTATTTTTTTTTTCAGCTCAACAGTCATTTCATTGATTTTTAAAGAGGTAAAAAAGAAATAAGACAAAAAAAAACCATCCAAAAGTTGTTAGAAAGAAGAACAATCTAAAAAAAAAAAAAAACTCTGTTGTACTAAAACACGGATGTTGATAGTATTCTGGTCATGAAGTGAAGTTAAACCCTGTAATTTGTGTTCTGCAGGGGAGTGCAGATGTCTTTGGCAGCACAGTTGTGTCTGATTGCCCTGATGGAAAAAAAAAAGTAGGTTAAAAGGAGAACAAGGGATCCATCCCGATGAGATCTGCAGAAACAGGCTCCTCTCCAGTGGCTTGTAGGTGTTGTGGTGTATCTGAACTGAAAAGAGGAGTTAATGCAGGAGGGAGGTAATTAGTCTTCTTATGTCTGTAATACATCTCTCTTCCCTCAAGCGACGTTTATTGTAATTTTAGTCAAAACTGAAATACAGCAAATCATAAAAAATATATAAGTAATACAACCTTGAAATGTCCTAATTATTACTTTTCCATTTGAATTCAGCCACACGTGTGAATAAGTTTAATACCCCTTTTTTAGCAGTATTTAGAAACAATAGGCAATAATTCATAGAAAGAAAAATTTGATTAAAAGAAATAAACAGTTTGTCCAATTAACCCCTCCCTGCTACCACTAGAGCTAATCATAGTTTTATTAGGTTACCAACTAAACAGTCTGCCAACACCATAATCTGCACACATACAGGATTTGATGCTAATGGTAAAACAATTAAGTAATGGAAAGATTGTCAATAGCATATGGAAAAACAATATAGAAAAGCTGCCATCATATTAACTCTACATATTATTCTTTGTTGGAACACATTCATCAAAAAGGCCATTCATCTCCAGGAAAACAACTCCTTCAAAACAAAAGCAATAATTTTTGGCCCTACAATAACCATCTCTGGCAAAAACATCTACTGATAGTTGATTTACAGTCATTTTTCATGAGATTTTTTATTTAAACTTTCTAGATAAGATTTTCTGATCAATATGTTTTTTTTCCTCTAGTGCTGATTGGAGTCATTTAACATTTGGTAATTACAGGTACAGGATCTGGGTCTTTTCAAATAGAGCTTTTATAGATCCGCTTTTATATTCTGCTGTCGCGTGTGACTCAGGCTATTAAAAATCTGCTGCAATGTTCTGATAACACAACACCTGGAGGAAACACAATCTTTCTTTTTTTATTTTCATCAGAACTGCTGCTGGACCATAGTTTGCAGTTCATCATATAATAAAAAAGGCCCTTCATGTCATGGAAAATCCATTTTGATACAGTTACCAATTAACCAATAAATGATCGACGAGATTAGATAACCTTAGATTAACTAATTAATCTGTATTATGTTTACTTCAACTTTCTTTTTTAAAAGTTTTTATCCTATTTCTGTGTATTTTGTCTGCTCATTGGGACGGAATAATTTCCCCGCAAGGGTCAGTAAAGTTTTCTTGATCTTAAATATTTCAAATAACAAGATATGCAAGAAATGCTGAATTAAGTTTTTTTTATATATAACTACATCTGTGTGTTACCATAAGTGGCTGATGTGTAGGTAGTCCTCATATGTGGGGAGTTGTCCCATATTGTCTCTGAAAGTTGTTGTATGTTTAATTTTGCCAAAAAACAAAACAAACAAAACAAAAAGTATTCTGACTTCTTTACTTGTTTAATTTGGAACAATTATATTTGTGAGTGAGGCTTGAGTTAAAATTTGTATTACATTTTTAGCCGTTACATAGCATGGATGTGTATAAGGTTATGAACACATAAAACTCATCATCTGAACCAACCAGTGATCTTTTCAAAATTTCAGGCATGCCAGATTTATTTGCACAAATTAAAATTAAAAAGAGTTTTTGTATTTATTATTATGATCACTGTTTTTTTCTTCAAAGGCATCAGTTTAGGGATCTTAAATGACTTACATTATGTTGGGTAGTAGTTGTCAGATTTTTCTCTAAGTTTTCTTTGTTTTTGTTTGGTGGTTTTCACCTTCCTAGACGCAAAAAAAATTAAAGCAATAAAAAGCACTCAAATTTAATATACTCCTTTTTTTATTTTATTTTTTTTACCAGTATAGGAATTATTATCCGCTTAGCTTTTGATCTTTGAGTTATGAGCACCACAGCAAAATCTTTTATGGTTTAGCTGTTGAGTATACAGACAGACAATACCCTTAGTCTGCGTAATCCTCCACATTTGATCAAGAAAAGTTGGATTATGTCATTACACTTGCATGGCCTGCACCATGTTAACTGCTGCAGAAGCCCCAGCCACCGCAACGCCTATAAATCCGATCAGAGACGAGCCAATGAAACTGAACCGTATTGCACGTTGGTTGGACCAAAGTTGCTTAGATTTGAAAAATAATGGATGAAGCTGAGTTTCAGGCTAAAACCTGTGCATGTGAGGGTTATAATCCCAACTTTAATCTAGATTAAATCCACATCTGGCATGTCTCTATGTTTCCCTACAGCCTCTTTGTCCTCTCAGGAAAAAATAAAATACTTTAGATCAATGTGAAGACGGGACCAGGACCAAACTGAGCAGGAAAGGACTGGTCAGTCAAAGACTGGAACTTATTTCTAGTGCAGTACACGGCACAGATACCTTTCATTGACCCTTAGAATTGTGAAGAAAGTTGCATCTTTGCAGCATTAGTTAACCTGGTACACAGAAACCAGTGGATGATGTAAGAAGAGGATTTTGACTGAAGTCACTGAGTGCTTATCTGAGTGTCTGGCTGCAACAGATGTTTCGGGTCGTCTTCTCTTTCAGCTGCAGGAATTTGATTGTGCATCCACGGTGAGCCAAGAAGATTAGAGCGTCGTACCCTGAAAAACCAAAAAAAAATTCCAAACCAGAAAATGGATTTCTCCCACATTACAAGGAGAGCTTTTATTGGAGCATTAAAGTACATTTCATGGTTCTTAGCGCTCACTCTCACTCACTCACCCACCCTCATGGTCTTAAACAAATACTTCCTTTTCATCTCCATCCCTTTATTCCCTAATTATAAAATTACAGTAGGGATCATCCTGCAGTACAGGGCTGTGAAAATCTACTTACCCCCTTACAGACATTTTTGCTTTTCCATTTTCAACACTCTTACTGGTTTCAGAGCTTGAAACAAATTTGGATATATCAAGAAGAGCAAATCTTTCAAAAGGGGATTTCATTTTTTATCAAAAAGGGCGTGATTACTGTCAGACCTGTAGAATCATGGCATCTATTAAATAGAACTTGTTTGACAACATGAAGTAGGCAAGAAAACAACACAGAGAACAATTGCTCATAGATGGAGAAAACATCTGTAAAGAGCACTCCCAGTAGCGACCAGCAAATAAAAATTACTCCAGGACAAACCTTTAAGGTCAAAGGTCAGGATTCAACGGGAAGGAAAAACAGGCAGGGTAAAACATAGCCGCATGGAAGAGCAGAGAGGTAATGCACACATTTATGAAAAACACTTTGATGACCTTAAAGTTTTTGGGAAAGTATTTTTTTGGACTAAGCAGACAAAGTCAGGCCTTTGTGGAGAGTGTGTATCCAGGTAGTTCTACACCATTGTGTATGCAGAAGTGTAAAAATACCACATTATTAATAAAAAAAAGAACATCAACATATGAACCAATCATGATGCTTGACCATATTCACCTGGAGTCAAACATTGTGGTGGTGGGCTTATGATCTGGGACTATTTATATGGTCCCAGTCAGTCTGTGACCTTAAGGTGACCTTGGTTTCTACACCAAAACAAAGTACCTGAAGCACAATAGCCCTGCCTCTGAATTGCTAGCCCTGTTCCAAACCTCACTAAAGACACATGCTTTAAAGCAGTTATTGGGGGGGGGGGGGGGGGGGGGGGGGGGGACTTAAGCTAGTAATGATTTTTTAAAGCAGTTGATAAGAACTTGTGCCCAATTACAATTTATCCATAGATAAAAGTTTTTCTTTTTAAATGCAAAATACTTTACTACTGTACTGTATATGCTGTACAGTTTTGCTCTAACGTTTAGTTTGAGATAGTTGTTCTCCCAGCAAATGACATGTTTTATAGTCTGTATAATCCAATTTAGAATTACTAAATGAGTTGATTTTTTTATTTTTAAACAATGAATTACAATCAATGTGATGATTTGTTTTAGCCTATATCTAAACATATAGGCCAGGGGGGTCTGAATATCTTTACGCACTTAAAAAAAAAACTGTTATTCTGTTTTTAACTCAGGTTCTCTTTGATACTGAACGTTTATTTTTCAGATTTTTAGATTTCAAGTTTGACAAAACAGCAAAAACAGAACAAATCTGTCAGGGGGTAAACATCTTCTCACAGCAGTTCAAGTAAGAGTCACAGTAGAACCATCACTTATTCATCGGGTCATAGTTTTAAAAATGTGAGAACGATGGATATACATTACATATGGGTTACAATGCATTGATTAATTCTTTTCAGAACATGGCTTGAAGCTTTTCATATATAAACTAGGAGGTGCATTTATTTGCATTCATGGCAGAAAGGTTAAGTATGTTTTAGATCATACTTTAGGCAACATATTGAATAGAAATGAAAATAGAACAAAGGTTGCAGTCAGTCTTAAGCATTTTCACAGTGGAAGGAGAAGCGACTTTGGATTTAATATTTCAAGTTTATGGAAGCAGCCTGTTTCTAATATTGCTGCAGATGCCTTCTAGTCAGAAACAGAGAACCATTTAGGTTAAAGGGTGCTTAGTCCTCCAGCTTATCTTCATTTTCCTTGTCTATGCATTGAAAAGAAAAACAAAATACAAAAAAAGATTTTTTTGTATCCAAAATAATGCAGTTGCCATTAATGGGCAGTTAGGCTTTTGGGGTATTAGTTCCTTAGTAGTACTCATATTCTAAGCGGCACAAAGATTAGTGAACTTGTTTTAATGAAAGTTCAGCACCCAGCATGAATCTTTAAAAAGCTGCTGCTGGAAGACTGTGGTTATTAGTTCCTGTAGTTTCACCACCATTACCGAGCAGAGCCAGAGACTCCACTGACTGATTCTTATTTTCCTCCTGATGTTCTGATTGAGGTGATTCCTCCTTCTTGTCTTCACCTCCTACCTCCTGCACGCCTGTGGCAGCAGCAGCTGCAGCAGCGGCTTCACACTCCTCCTTAAACAAACGGTCATGCTCCATCTTGAGCTCCTGGTAGGAGCGGGAGAACATATGGAAGATGGAGGTAGCTGGAAAAGCCATAATAAGAATCCCGCTCAGGATGCTGCTCAGCGCAACAACCTGCCCTGGAATGGACCTCGGCACCATGTCACCGTAACCTACGGTTGTCATGGAAATGATCGCCCACCAGTAAGAGGCGGGAATGCTGCTGAAATCATGGGTGCCTGTAAGCTCACTTTCCGCAAGGTGGACGAGAGGAGAGAAAAGGGTGACAGCTACGCAGAGGAAAAGAAGAAGGAGGCCAAACTCCCGGGTGCTGCGCCTGACCGTCAGCCCCAGCACCTGTAAGCCGAGGGAGTGGCGAGCTAGCCGCATCACGTACAGAATCCTCAGCGCCCGCAGGATCCTCAGCACCAGACCCAGTTTGTCCAAGTAGCCCTTACCTCCACCAGGCCTCTCATGCTCAGAGCTCTGATCCTCTTCCGTCACCACAAGTGAAACATAGTAGGGCAGGATGGCCATGGCATCGATGATATTGAGCGGCCCTCGGAGAAAATCGAGCTTGCTGGGGGCCTGAATGAAGCGTAGGATGAACTCCAGGGAGAACCAGGCCACACACACCGTCTCTATGATGAACATGTTGTAGCATTTGGAGGAACACTCACCCTGAGGTATGAAAAAAGAAATGCATTCAGAAGAAGGGGGGCAGGGAGATTGAAGATGAAAGGAGTGGAGAATTGACAGAGAAGAAGACAGATGGGGAGGGAAACACATGAAGATGGAGGGGGGAGATAAAATCCTGAGGTCAGATAATCATCCGCACTAATCATTAATAAATCATGAGCTAGTCACTCGGTATGCTAGAGCTACTACCTCTGCACTGATAGATAACACACTGACAAAATCCATCATTTATTTAATTGAGAAGACTTCAAAGATTAATGCAACAGTGTGTTAAAGCTGCGGCAAAACCCAATCAAACTCACCCTCTAAGTGTAATCAAGGAAAAGCAATGAAATAATAATGAAAGATATTTTAAGCCTTAGGATGTCTCTGCAACATCTGGTTTGAATCATCACACCACCAGAAGCCAATGGGAATACATGATGCCAACGCATTTAGCAGAAAATGCTTCAGGCACATCATCGATACCATGCTGCTGACTTTCTTTCCTTTTTTTCTTTTTTTGCAGTGTTTTCCTACAGCATCTATCCTGCACAAATCCAGATGCTGTGAAACTGAAAAAACTGAGACTTATGTACCATGGGACAGATGCCTAAGACAGAAAGGAGGCTGATGACATCACTCACACTGTAATTAGTTAGGTTATTTACTATACGACTACTTAGGGGATCTCACAAAGCAGTGAGATTTCAATCCCAAAACAGCCTTTACAGTGATGGGAACATTAATTTTAATGTTAATGTTAAGACAGACAAATTTATTTGTCATTTTTTTTACACAAGTTTAAAACAATTTAGTTTTGAACAGCTCTCTGGACAATTTCATCTTTTTGTAAAGGTAAAACAAAATATATATATATATATATATAAACAGTAATATAAACATATGACTTCAAATTTACAGTTCTAGCATTTTCATAATTTTTTTTATAATGATAAAATATAATAAATATAATAAAATTCAATAAAATAACCCATTTTACAAAATAATCAGCAGTCTAATGGCAGTCTAATAGTAACAAATTTCTTCTGTTCTTTATTATAGAACAATCACAGTAACTAGTTTCTCGGCAATGTTACTATGCAGTTGTACTGTATTAATAATTTAAAATACTTGTGATTTTTAAACGACTTCCCTTTTACTTAAATTCAAACCCAACTGGATTCAATTAATAAATTCAAAAAGTATAATATTACTTGAGTTATTAATAAATTAAACTAATTAATATCTGAAAACACTGTATACCAAGCTATAGAATTTTAGCCTGCACTGAAACAAACTAAACTGAAAAAACAAAACAAAAACAACATTTCAAGCCATATAGCAGGAATAATATTGTATTTGAATGAATATCGAACAGGTCATGCTATGCCAGAAAGCACCAGCTAGACTGTACTTCCAGTTATTTTGCTTTACAAAGTAATCAATAACAGCATAACAGAGATTCTTCACCACATATAACACCATAAGTGATGCTAGTATATAACATTGAAGAACCAATCTTCATGTGGCACTGTGATAATGAGAAGTGCATCAAAAATAGCAGTCCCACCCAATTTTATTTTTATGCTTAAAGTCAACTTCTTTTTGAAAACTACTGTTACCCCACAATCTTTAACTGTAATATAAACTCCTGAGGACATAATGACGCAAGGTGCAGACCAAGCACAACGTGCACCTGTAGCTTGTTGTTTATCTTCTGTTACTGTTGGTGCAGTTATGAATATCTTGCACAGAAGATGGGTTTTCCCATCATTTCCTGCAGTGTATCATTCAATATATTGGTAAAGCAAGGCAGGCAGTTCTAAGTCAGTGTTGAGGGTGAGACCATGTCTAACTCTTTTTTTAACCAACATAAATACAGCTTATATAGATAGTTTATATCAGTGGCAAGACAATTTAATGTGCTGTAGATGAGAAAAATAAGGACACTGAGGACACTGCAGTGGCTAAGAGGTGACAACATCAATTAAACAGAATAATAATTAATAATTGAAATAAGATGATTGTGTTAAAATGTTAAAAGATTACTAAAAATGAGAAAATTAAACTTAATTAATAATTAGATAGGACAGTCAAAGGCCATCCTAAGTACATAAGTTAGCAATAAGGTAAACTTTTTCTTCCCAAACATGATGAAAAAAATCACAAATCATCATAAATACATATTCAGTCAAGCTGATAAATGCCATAACCGCCACTTAAAATGTGTAAACATTTCTAGGTATACACATCTTAATTCTTACTAGTATAATTTTGTTTTTGTAACTTTCTGAAATTATGTTTCTGCTGCAAAAACGCAATAAAAAATATATTATTACAGTTAGTTTAGGAGTGGGATTTTGTTCAGGAAGAATCTTATTTTAGTGAAGAGGGAGGAGAGAGCTTTGAATAAATGTAAAAATGGTCTGCCATAGCCGGCTACATATAAACTTAGGCGATAACTTGAGCAACAATATTCTTCTTCGCCATCTTCGTCTCCTTTGAATCTGAGCTTCTTTAAACCTGCTTCGTCAAACGGACCCCTGCTCCCCACCAAGCATGTTCTTGCGAGTTTGATAAAAGAAAAGAAAAATCTTTCTACATGATTTTATTGTTGTTATTTATCTTTTTTTTTTTAAAGAAGATTTAATTTCTTTATTCATGTCTTCTCCTTGCTTTTTCTTCTTGATTGCACACAAGTCACTGTACACAATCTACATTTGTCTTTTGGCACTGTGCCTCAGTTTCTTCTCAACACGCTCCCTCTCTATCCCTTATTATGCAGTATTTCCACCTTATTTCCACCTTCTCATCACTCATTCTGTTTCCTCTTCCAATGCCCTCTCCGGACATCCCCCTACCCCCCTTAATCCTTCATTGTCTCCCGCTGCTCTCTTTCCGCATTAAATCCATCACACCTTCAGTGAACAAATCTTTCCACACAGTTGATTCATGCAGGTACATGCATCCTTCACACACTCCTGTTTACACTCATCCCTTCTGTCCTTTCTGCCTCATCCATGGATCATCACTGCAATGTCACTCTGAGGCAATTGCTTTATTCCTGCAGAGCAACGCATAGCTGGTTAAAACACAAGTTGACATTAGTGTGAGCTTTCATTCTTCAACAATTTTATCAGGTTACATATAATCTAAAAACAATTTAGGGTTTAAAATTGCACGTCCTTAGGATTTACCCATTTGTACTGACATTTGGTGAGGGATCTTTGCATTTAGTGCATGCAAGATAGCATTGTCTTCACTTCTGTCCATTTGTACTTTGCTATTGTATTGAATCTATTGGATAAATTTGTAACAGAAAAATTCATCTTAGATTTTGGTACAGATTAACATTATTGCATCACTCAGTAGCTGCAGATCAGAACATCCATGATGTTATGTGGAAGCTCCTGGCCAGTCTCCACTGACCTCAGACCATTCTCTGTAAACCTGAGAGACAGTTGCGTGTGAAAAAAATCCCAGCAGATTCTGAAATATTTAGACCAGTCTGTCTGTCTTTCTGGCACCAACAACAATGTTAAGCTCAGATACAGCTAAATCCCATTTCTTCCACATTCGACTCTCCTGCTAGAATTTCGTCATGATATTTTTGCAGCATCTTAATACCAAGAGGCATTTGGTTACTTTATAATGATGGCTGATTGAATATTTTAACAAACAATTGAAGAAGACAATTTAAGTAAGACTTCCCATTTTAATATTTAATTTATATAAAGGGTTTTTAAATTTAGAATTAAGAAATAATTACTTGTGGGTTGCATTAAAAATTTATCACATTGAGTGATCAGAATAATTCGGATTAACTAGAACAAACTATTGGAAAAAGCAGACATATATCAATATTTTAAATTTTAAATTATTTCTGTAGTAAAATGGAATCAGTACTGTGGTCAGTTTTCCTGCCTTTCCCGCCTACTTAACCTGCCTAGAGATTGAAAAAGGGACCCATAATGGTGATCTCTGAGCCCCTTTGATTTCTCCAGAGGACCAAATTTGTCTCTTAACCAAAGGGAGGTTAGAAAACAAGATGAGAGATTCAGTGGTTTAAAAGTCTTCCTCCCAAGAGTCATTGCTTCAATAAATCATACCATAATATTAACCTTTACACCTCTTCTCCTCAATCTTACCTGAATTGCTCATGTTTTCCCCTCTTCTCAGACTCCTGCCAGGCTGTTCTATATTAATCTTTGAGACGTTCCCTCCCTGTGGTATATATGTTAGGCCTGCCACGTTTCCACCACTCATTTATTTCCATCCTCAGATCTTTATGTTCTCCCCTTCTGCTGACATTAGGTACCATAAGAGCGTCCTGACCCTTACTGACCTGCAGAATAACGCCATTTGTTACAGCTGGAAGAATTTCCCCTCTGACTTTCCCCTTTTTGAGAAGCGGCACACAATGCCTTCCCAGAAAACGAACACCATTACGACCTTAACTCCTCCACACAACCATCAGAGGACATATAGTCAGTGATATCACAGCTTCCTAAGATGGGGTTTCATATTATAGTTTGCATTACAGTCTCTCAATGTCAACTAGAACAAAGACAACAGGGGGTGAGGTTGGGAGGGTTGGGTAATTGAGAAGGACGTGAGGTTTACACATGGTAAGCTGATGTAATCATTACATTTTTTTACTTTAATGGCAGAGTTTTCATTTAAATCTATTAATGCATATTATGTAAAGATAACTTGCAAATGTGAAATATGAAAAACATTTTTCATATTTCACAGTGAGAAAACCTTGACCTCAAACTTTTCAAGAATTTTAAAGAATTTCTGAGCTTTTCTCCATGCAAAGATAATAAATCAACCAAGCGTCCTTGGTTTATTAAACTGCTTCCATTTAAATGAAATGATGTACCAAGAGAAAACACATACATATCCACAGCTGATGAGGGACCAGGTGTAAGTAAATGAATATGTGGTTTAAATGAACAGAGAATTATCAGGAAAAAATAGATCCTAATAGCTGGGAA